AGGAATTATCTTTTTATTTTTAAATATATATTTAGATTATGGATAATCTTATCATTATTATTAATTTAAATCATTTATCTAATCAAATATTAAATTCGTTTTTATTTTTGGCTGGTTTATATATTTTATTCATTAAGGGTATAAACGATATTAACCACTCTAACTTTTAACGTGGGAGCTCCGTTGCGAAAAATCACTTCGCAAATAATAGTATAGATGATTTCTTAGTCGGTTGTTTATTGTCTATTAATATTTCTATTATTTAGATAGTTTTTTGCATTCAGATAGTCTACTGATTATTATTTAGTCGTGTAAATATTTATTCATGTCTCTTACGTTTTAACCAAATCAAGTGTAATCTAAAGATGGAACGGTGAGGTGCCTCCTAGTTCAAGACCCTTGGGAAGGAAGATTCACGTCCAGTAAAGATATTGACAAGGGATGCTTTTTTAGTCTAGATTTTAAATTTCTTAATTAACAAAATAATAATTCTTGTTTAAAACGTTCACGGCTAAATTATTGTTATAATATATCTAATTATTATTATAAAGTTTTTGTTTAATATACTTATAAGCAGACTAGACAAACACAGTTAGTCAAAAAACCTACGCGTAGATAATATTTAACATATCAAACCTAAGAATATAGGGTCGTTACGTCGGAGTCTTAGCACAAAATCAATATGTTCGAGCAGTGTAGTAGCGATTAAAGACAAATCAGTTTTCTCCATAAATAAGATTAAGAAATAATTAGCAGATTGGCTGATGAAACAAATCCACTTTGCTAATAACACATGAGTTAATGTTTTACTTTTCTCACGCATGAGTGATTTTAAACAAAGAAATTGTCTTGTTGCTATATTTGCAAACTTGAGCCGACAAAGTTTATATCCTTTCACCTTTTTTGCCTTAACTATTACAATCTCTAACAGTCATTTCACGTTTTTAAAAAGATTTATATAATAATATATTGAATCTGGAGAGAAAACTATATATATATATATATTTCATAATATTTATATCAATATATCTATGTGTGACTTTTCTCTGTGGTTTTTATGGTTCGATTTCATTAGTTTGTAACCAACTCTTTTGTGGATCAAAGTCAAAAATTGAGTCCCACCATTAAAAATTTCACCTCTTAAAAAAGATCGATTTTCTACATACAACAGAAAAAAAAACAATAAAGATTTTGATCCACAATCTATCTCCACTACACAAACAAAAGTTTCCCTAGCTACCATCATCTTCAACTTATACCTCAATCACATTAACTCATAATTTTTCTGACAATAGTTCTATCCTATCAGCATTCGGAACCGAAAGCTAACTCGATATAAAGAAATCAACACAAAAACTGAGTTCAAACACCACATGCAATCACATTAACTATCTCAATAAAACTAAATTGGCAACAATATATGACCAAATAAAGTTTATAAAAATGGCTGGTTAAAGATTTTATATTATTTACGAATTCTTTTTCAAATTAATGTAGCTTTCCTTTTTAGTGTATATGTAAATTCATCTGAATAAGCCTATTTTCACAGTAGTGTACAATCAAGTAAGTAAAAGAAGAAAATAAATAAATGCAGATGAAAAACAAAAACAATAAAAGAATAAAAGAAAAAGAATAAAATAAGAGAGAAAGAGAAGTCATTGATCCTATGTTTGGCGCGTATATTAACCACCACCACCGGCAAAAGACACCCCACAAAGAAAGATCAAACCTTTCCTTCCAAAACATCTCTCTGCCGAGAACCAAAATTGAATTTAACCCTAAAAACAAAACACAAAAGTCTTCACCTTTAAGCAAAAGAGATCAAGCCACTGAGAGTGGTGTAGAGACATAACCAACCACGATCTGCGGTTTCACTCCCATTTGATCAGACCTCGACATTGCTGTGTTCTGTGTTTCGCAGTTCCAAACGCTATACAAATTAAAAAAAAAAAACAGAGAGGTTAGTTAAGGTAATAAAATAATGGAGCGGTACGGTCGCGCCGGAGAAGAAGGGTCGCGATCGGATCCATCACTTGAAACCGGTATAGAAGGTAACGCTGATAATGTGTTTCCTGCATTTCTTTTTCTCATTCTGTTAATGCTTTGATTTTCGCGGGATTAAATCAGCGATTAGCGTTTTGTGAGAATCTTTTTTTTTGAAAATGCGGCGTTTTTTTTGTAGGTTCGATGTGGCGGTTAGAGTTGCAAGGCGGTGGAGGAGGTGAATCGTACCCGGAGAGACCTGATGAGCCTGATTGTGTGTATTACTTACGAACCGGTGTTTGCGGGTACGGTTCTAGATGTCGGTTCAATCACCCACATGCACCGGTAATAAACTATCTCACTCGCTCTGTTTTTGTTCTGTCTTGGTCGGGTTTTTGATAAAGTTACTTCCTTCTTTTTTTGTCTGCTTCCTATGTGTTTCGATGTTTATGCAGTCTTTATATTTAATTAGGTGATTTAGTTTGATCAGACGCATTGTTAATTCTACGATCTAATATCACTGACACATAATCTATGATTAGTTCAATTTGCTTGGAAGCTCTTAATTAAATGTTCTTAGTTTCATTCTTTTAGGTTTTGGGAGGTCTCAGAACAGAAGCTGTAGAGTTTCCAGAGAGAATAGGACAGCCCGTGTGCCAGGTATGTATTAGATCATTGGTTTTTACAGATTAAGCAATGCATTTATGTAGTGATTTAGTGTAATAAGACCAATATTCTCACGTTTGTGGACAGTATTTTATGAGAACGGGAACATGTAGATTCGGTGCTTCTTGTAAGTATCATCATCCTAGACAAGGAGATTCTGTTACTGCTCCTGCCTCATTAAGTTACATGGGATTACCATTACGTCCGGTTTGTTCAATCTCTTTGTTTTCTCTTTGTGTCAATTATGGTGTATTGTAATGTATATGATCTCTCAAAGTTTTCCCTTACTAATGGATTTTATTCAGGGCAAGAGAGAATGCTCATACTACATGAGAACCGGTCAGTGTAAATTCGGTTCCACCTGTCGATTTCACCATCCTCTTCCTCCTACTGAACAAGCTCCATCACTTCAGCAGCAGCATCAGCAGTTGTCAACTATATATCCATCGTTTCAGTCTCAAGCAAGACCTCAGGGGTTTTTACCAGGCTCATATGTTCAAAGTCCTTACGGTACTTACAGCCAAATGGTTCTTCCTCCTCATCCTCCTCCTCCTGGTATGGTTCCATACTCTGGCTGGAACCCTTACCAGGTAATGCTGCTCCAATTACTCCTCTTTTGTTTTTACTTTTTTTTGTCATCCCTCTAGATCTTTAACAAAGCCTAGTTTATATATTTTATTGAAGGCTTCTGTGAGTGCAATGCCTTCTCCTGGGACTCAACTGTCTATAAGAGCAAGCTCTTCAAATAAGGAACAATCTTTTCCTCAGCGACCTGGACAACCAGAGTGTCAATACTTTATGAGAACCGGAGATTGTAAGTTCGGAAACTCATGTAGATTCCATCATCCTCTAGAAGCAGCGTCTCCCAAGGGAGTTGCCCTCAGCCATATTGGCCTCCCACTTCGTCCTGTAAGTCTCTCATTCCATGAGCATTTGCATATATATATTAGCTCTAACGCCATGAGACACAGTCGTTGATAATGAATTAATGATAAGTTCTTCATAGTCACTCTGTTTCTTGTTTTGCATTCATCTGTTTCTTGAAATCACATTCTTATGTTCAGTAGTGTATCTTATAACAAAGACAAAGCTAATAGTAGAGTAAAAGTTGCAGGGAACAGCGCCATGCAGCCACTTTGCGCAACATGGGGTTTGCAAGTTTGGACCTGGCTGCAAATTTGACCACTCCATGGGCTCTGCTTCACTAAGCTATAGCCCATCAGCTTCTTCCCTCACTGACATGCCCGTGCCTTACCCTCTTGGATCCTCATCGCTCCTCACATTAGCTCCATCATCATCAGCATCATCCACGTCTGACCAACGCACAGAGCTTCACTCTTCGAGCTCCATAAAACCCAAAACAACAACAAGAGGTGGTTCAGAAACTTTGGCTTCTTCTGTGACTAGTAATGTAAGCCACTCAGAGTCTTGCTGAGACCAAAAATGGTGACTCGGGTAGCATTGAGGTTAAGACTTCAAGTTAAAGAGACAAAAACTCAAAGGAGAGAAGAGAATCTCTCTCTCTCTCTCTCTCTCTCTCTCTCTCTCTCTCTCTCTCTCACAATTCTTCTTCCACTAGTCTCTCTATCTCTTCTTATTTTGATCACACTTTCATGAACTGGAGAACATAAGAAATTTTTTTTTTTTTTTGGGGTGGAGACAACAACAAGAAGCAAAAGCAGAGATATACGAAAGCAGCTCTAGTTTTATGTGTTCTGTCTCTCCTCTTAGGTCTCTTTTACCATGTTCATACGATTCCTTGATACAGCCATCTTTTCCTATCTCTTTTGTTATTTTTTCAACTTTTCGAAGTGATTATATATAATCGGCCTAATTATTCATGAAATCATCTGTTTTCTGGAAATTTCATGTTTAACAAAAATCAAATTTATGGAATAATATGGGAATTTCAGTTAAGAGGAAGAGTGATTATCTTTTTAGCGCTTGTTATCATATACTTTTTTTTTTTTGGAACTCAAACTTTCATTAAACAACATCATCAGAGTTGTGCTTGTTATCATATATACTTATACTTTATAAGTTCTTGTGAAAATCCCCTGGTGTTTCAAGAGAGTACACATTTCAATGATTTTATCATACAATTTTTGTTTGAAATTGTAAATTTATTTGTCCAACAGAAACGGAATGTGAAATTTTGTGTAACTTTACATTTATAATTTGTAAAGAAGATAAATTTTGTTTAACTTTACATTTACAATTTGTAAAGAAAGATATTTAACAAATACATCAATAAGACTTTTTTTCCTTTCTATATAGTAAATCAAAATATAAAATATGTCAGCTGGTAAACCTAAACGCAAATAGTCGTTGAAACAAACAAATCCTTAAATGTTTTTGGAACAGCAACAAGAGAAAAATTAAGAGCATGGAAAAGGTAGAACAGAACCGATCTATGTGTTCTACAATCGATTCGTACGACTTTGATCATGTATATATGAAAAGAAAGGATTACAAAATAAGTAAAATTACTGTTGATGTGGAAGTAGAAGTCAGTAATTCTCGTACTTGGTTCTTCGTTTTGGTGATATAACATGTGCATGTGTGGTTTGTTCGTTGCGTCTAGTTTTACTCAAAACAACAGAACAATCATAATCATGAGTTTGGTTACTGAAACATCACAACAAAAGCTTTCAACAACCCACAAAAAATGCTAATCATTAAATGCTTTTCTCTGAGTTATATCACTTAGATGATCTACGGTAATCAAGGCTGTATAGAAGTCACGTTTATTTTTACTTATTAAGAATAATGAACCATTTTCTTAAGATTGATGTATGAAGAACTTAACAAAAAATTAAAATATTATGCACTACTTGTAAGTTATTTTCTTTGAAGCAATACAGATTGTCATCAATTAATAATGAATTCCATGGACTATTGATGTATTTGTTTGATATGTATAACAGTTTTGATTGGGTCTGATAACAAAATAAAGTGAAGTTGATAAACTTTAGAAAGGGGTTTAATTGAGTTCTATGAAAGAAATTCAAAAAACTTAAAACAGATTTTAAAAAGGAAAAAGGAGTTGTGATGTTGAGTTGTTGTACACAAAAGTATAGGCAAAAGGAGGGAGACATGAAACAGTGATTGTGCAATTAAAGACCAAACAAGTCATGACCAAAACACATGTCCAAACACCAAAAACACCATCATGCTACTTCACTAAACCTCCATCTCACATTAACTATGTTTTTTTCTTATTAAATTTCAGTCAAATTCCAAACTTTCAATTGTTATAAAATTTTCTGCAACTAATCTTATAATCCTGGTATATAATATATCTTAGTTATTCACTTAGATAATATTATACACATCCACACTTATTATATACATAATGAGTACGTATGTTGGAAGTAGCATGGACAAAAAGTGGTCTTTGATACAACTCGCATTAACACCTTTTGCTAATCAAAACCATGATACTGAAATGAAATCACACAAAGAAAATTAAGGAGAAAGAAAAAATTAAAACTTAATGGTAAGGGAACCTTATGGTGCATGATACAATAAGCAGAATATATATAATAAAGTCGATAAACATGTTGTTAACAACAACAACCAGACGACCATGGAATAACGTAAAATAAAAATACTAATTATATTATTACATAAGTATAAAAACATAAATAATAAAAAGAATGTTCTAATAGAGTGAGTAGAAGCCTGTAGTGTCTGCAACAACATCTCCAAAAGCAGCAATAGAAGGCTCCATTATTGCGTAATCTTCCATTGACATGGAAGTACCAGCTGCACCATAGTTAGTGATCATGGCAGAGAGATCACACGAACCAAACTCCATCATCATGTCACCATCTTGAAAGTAACTATTATTAAACCCTTCGTATGACTCGGAAGCCTTGCTTGTTGGAGTTGTGAAACCAGCTCCGGTTTGGTTTTGGATGGTGGTGGTTTCCGGAGGTGGTTTAAGGCAATGGTTTGGGACAATGCAGTCCAAGTAACCTGAGTTAGTTCCTTCTAACGAGAAGAAGTTGTTTTCTTCGTCTAGTGAAGAAGATAACGAGCCGTTAGAAGATGAGTTTTGAGGACTAGTACCAAACGCTTGAATATCAGCGTTTTGATTACGAACCGGGGTTTTAAGAGAAGCAACGGGTAAACCGGTTTGGGGGAGAGTATGTTTAGGTTGCTGATGGTAATGATAGTTTTGATAATGAGGATGGTGATCAATGACAAACTTTGGAGAAGAGTTTGGTAATAAAGATTGGTTATTGTAAGGAGAGACAATGAGAGAGTGGAGATTAGGGTTTGTGAGTATGGTGTGAACATCATTTGGAGTGTAGACAAAGTTAGTTCGAGCTTGAGTGCCTCTCATCGAAAGAGCTGCTCTATCGTAAGCAAGAGCGGCTTCATGAGCAGTGTCGAAAGTGCCGAGCCAGTGACGTTCTTTGGTGGTTGGATCTCTAATCTCAGCTGCGTAACGTCCCCATGGACGTCTTCTGACTCCTAAGAACCTCCCTGGCTCTGCTTGCTTTGATCTCCGGCCTCGTCTCTCGCTGGTTGTGGTGGTGGTTGCGTTGGTTGTGAGAGCAAAACCCATTTGAGTTTGGGATGTTTCAAAGTGTTTAGTATGATCTAGGGTTTTGGAAGTTGACATGATGATGAAGGTATAACTTTTTTGGAAAGGAGGTTTTATTTTAGGGTTTTTCGAAATTAGTTTTTTTTGTGTGTGTGTTTTGCTTCTATCTAAAGATGATGAGTGTTGTTTGGGAATGGAAGTGAAGTGCTGTTATAAATAGAGAGACATTGAGCTTGATGGAGAGACTTCACTTTTGATTCAACTGCTTTTAGGTATATCTTTTATTTCTTCTATTTCGCTTTTTATTTCTTTTTTTCCCGAAGATATTATATAGGCTTCAGCGACAAAGATAGATGAAAGGTTGGCACATTGGTTGGATTTTTATAAGATTTTTGTACATGGCTTAATCAGTTAAATAAATCAAACCGATTTTAAAAAAGCTTATTTGACTGTTTTAATCTGTTTTAAGGCCACTCCTACCAAAAAAAAAAATCTGTTTTAAGGCCATCACTTCTTTTATTAAAGCTGTTTTCTGACCATTAATTACAATTCACCAATCTCTTATCACGAGTACGTTATGTTTTTTTGTGACTAAAGGCTTGAGTACGTTATGTCTTTATAAATAAATCTTCTATATTTTGTTAGTATTATTTTCTTTAAATATAGAAAGAAAACAGCATTTTATATTTATATTTAAAACAATAATTTATCTAATTGTACATTAGACCAAAATTTAGTCTATAATAGAGTTTTTTTTTATGTTGTTAAAAAAGTAGAGTTTTTTATTTTAGCAAGAAAATATAGATTTGTTGAACATGATCTTATTCTTAATTTTTATTGGGTATAAAAATATAGAAATGTGTTAGAAATTGTCTTACTCTAAATTTTTTTTTTATGTTGTGTATATAATATATAATACTGTATATATCTTTTTATTATGCAAGAATAGCTATTTATGAAAGTCTAAGATTAAAAAAAAAAGTCTAAGATCATCTCCAATGTAAAAATCTATTTTTTTCTCTAAAATGGAGTAAAAATGATTATGAAGTAAAAATACTTTAATCCTACTATATTTCTAACTCTACAATGGAGTAGTGAACAAAGAAAAAGAGATTATTCTATTTATGGTGTAAATTTTATCATGGAGTAAAAATAGAATAAGGTTTAAGTATTTTTTATTCAATAATCACTTTTATTCTGTTTTGAAATGAAAAATGGAGTTGGGTTGGAGATGTCCTAAGTAGACGGGTGATCATTGGGAGTGTGGGACAATTGCAAAATCTAGAATGTCTCACAGTAACCAATCTTTTTGGTAAAAACAGTAACCAATCTTGATTTAGAAATAAAGAACAACGAGAAATTATATATAGACTGGATAGTAAAATATTGGGTAAAAAGCATAAATTTTAATTGTGATGTATATATTACATCATGCTATTTGAGAATTTATTTCAACGGGATCAAGCAAATTAATTAACTCAAATAGTCTGCTTAGTGGTCACGTGCAGTATGCATAATAACCCTACATACCACAGCTTAAAGGTCAAGGGTCTACGTACAAATATCGATATTTTAGTTTTAAAAAAATCGATATAGATTGAAATCCTTTATTTATATTATTTTTTATCCAAATAATATAAATATCTATGTTTGAGGTGATATGCATTGCTATTACAGTTGTGGTCTCTGATCAATTTGAATGTACTGAGGTAGATTTCACGAATTTGAGTTTCTAACAATTTGAGCATAAAATCTGTAAGCTGTAATTTCTCCCAATATGGTTCTATATGAAAATTAATTAACAACGGATAGGCAAGCGACATGAAATTTGAGTTTTTTTTTTTCTATCATGTTTGATTTTATTTAGTTTGGCTAAATATAAGTATTAATCTAACTTAATTGCAGAAGCCCCTAATTAAACCACATGGTTTCCCGCATTTTAAGCGGAAATAGAAGTGGGAACAAAATAATGTGTCATCTTGTAGTGATTTTTTTTTCAATGGGAGTGGTTAAAGAGAGACACGATGAACCAAATACAAATTAAAATGCTTGGAAAGTACGTATAAATTTGGTTTTAAAATGGTAAGTACCTCAGTGGACAATTTTGTATTGATGTCCTTATATGCAAACAAACACAAGGCAACAACAATCTTAGTCTCTTTGTGTTTGTAATATTCTAGGATTATATAAAACACCTGAGCTTGAGTAGTTATTTGTCATATGTGGTTGTATTTAGAAAAAAATACTAATGTCTTACCCGACAACACGGATATATGTGATGAAATCAAGAAAATTATTTATAGTCAACTTTAGCACGACTTTAACTTAGAGTTCAAAAAGTAGCTAACAATCCAAAATGACAATGTGTTCTAACTTTGAACTTTATGATTAGAGACTTTAGATTACACTTATCAAATGAGCCAGAAAATGTAGGCTTGAAGTCTTGTTTAAAAAAAAAAAAATCGAAAGTAAAGTTTATTCAAACTAAATAAAATGTTTGTTACATCAAATATATAACTTTAGATGAATTACAAAAGAGAAATGTGGAGGAATGTTATCCAAATATACTTTGACATATAAATAATCAAATCAACTAGTTCATTTTCTATCTACATTTACAATCGTGTTAAGTACACTAACACTATTATCAATGGATCCGCTTGGAGGAAAAAAGAACTAGCAGTCAAAAGGAAATTTGGAAAGCTCGAAATTGTAAAGGAAGTTGATCAAGAACTGCCCAAACAAGAGCAACATGGTAGGCCGCTTCTTTGAATTTAGTAAAATCAATACTTCCTCTGTTTTATATAAGTGTTGTTACAAAGTAAAATTTTAATATAAAATTTATTAATTTTATATGTTATATGATTCTTTATATTTATTAACTTATTTTTATTGGTTATGATTATGTGCATAAATTTTTATACAACATTTAAAATGAAAAAAATGAGTAATAGTTTCTTTGGCTGAGTCTATGCATGCCACATGTCAATTCCAAGTAGACTTATTTTATTTTTATTTTTTGTTATTTGGATGTTCACATAATGGTTATGGATTTCATCCCCTTGTTTCATTTTAATTTCCACTTTACATTTATGCACAAAGATTAAGAAAATAATTAATTTTATATTTTTTTAATATAAAAACACAATTAAATATATATCTAATTATATTTCAATCAATAAAAAAATTAACTAGAAAATAAAGTTAATAAATTTTGCGTTAAAAATTGAAAAATAATACTTATTTTGGAACGAAATTTTTTCTCTATAGCGACATTTAATATGAAACAGATGTAGTATTAAATTCGGTTTCAGTTTGAAATGTTCGTTTATAATTGATAAATTAATTCCTTTTTTTGCAAATCAACTGTTTAATTTATATATATTAAAATTATATTGATAGTTCTATCAAATGAGATTAAATTCGATAAACATGAATCGTTCTTTGTAATCTAATTTTTTTATTTTATATAAGAGAGGATTAAATATTTATTTTACATTTTGAAACATATTGGTTAATTATCGCACTTGTAAAATATAAAAGCATTTCGAATGTTAATACTTTTACTGAATATCTTATAAATAAAACCATAAATTTATTGAATAGATATTTTAAGTGATTGAGAAACTCATTAAAAATATATTAAAAATAAGGTTAGATGAAATTTTGATTATTTGAGATATCTACTTAATAAAGTATTATTATTTCATTTGTGAGATATTCATTCGAGAATACGCAATGATAATGCTCTAACCAAAAAAAATGATTACTGATAATTTTTTTATCCAACGTGTGAAAAAGTCAAACCCTATGATATATAAAATGGTAAGTGTTATCTATTATTTGTTTTGTAATTACCAAAGGATTGTTCTTATTAACTACAAAGGCGCAGGTGAAAGAAGTTGAGTGTTACTAAATTTTACCTTTTACCAAGGTTTCTATTTAGATATTTTATAATATTGTTAACTGAAAAGGTGCTCTTAGATCAGTCAGATTCTCTCTTTCTCGAACTCTTTTGATGTCACATAAGCCACGTAAAGTAAAAATCCTATTGATTTTGAATGTTATTTTGCCTTTTAACCGAATGGGCTAGTGCACAAAAGTGTGATGTATTCCTTGTATTAAGGCTTCCATATGTGACAATTGTTGGTAAGCTTTTTGCACATTGCTAAATGGCATTGGAAATGAAACTTATATTCTTTTAGTTATATATTTTAAATGAGTCAAACTAATAATATTATATATTTAGTTCTATGATTATGGTTCTTTTGGAATTTTTATCTTTTGACTAATAAGTTTGACAAAAAAAAAAAACTTTTTGACTAATAATATATCAGTAATACAAGTATACAACCGTGGTCGGACCACGATAATCGCAGTCACTATCTTCGGGTGCAGCCCGCGCCTTAGCGATTCAATTTACCAAACACAACAAAATAAAATTGTTCGCCAGAATAAAGTAACAACAACGATATTTAGTTATATATAAATCCCAAAGAATAAAGTAACAACAACGATATTTAGTCTATATGTAGTTTTATGCATATTAGTAGAGGAAATTTTAGGGCGAGACCAATTATTGAATAGCATATAACTAAATAACCTGCATATAGCTAGCTATCAGAACTCTAAAATATAATAGAGAACCACAATTCTTATCCGGAAATTACATAAGAGTTCTAAAATGCAATGATTATAAGTAAATATTTAATTTGGTAATTTTATTGATATGTTTCATCTTATTTTAAGAATTTGGGTTAGAGACAAATATAAGCTATAGAAGAATCTAACGACCCTTGACTCATCCACTCATATTTTGAACTTCATGTGGGACTAGCCTTCCATTTGAATATCTTCTAGAATACATCGTATTTTGCATCTTATTACTAGTGAAACTAAAACCAGTGGTTATGTTATTAAATCAACTCTTGTTTATATTTTGTGTCATATACACTTCCTATATATATATATATTGTATTTTCTTAAGAAAGGATACAGTTTGAACTATAATTTTTTTTTTTGTCAGCCGGTTTGAACTATAATTAAATTCCATATATTTTCGTTAGATCTTTATCCTGAAAGATTTATTCCATTGTGCCCTTACTATT